ACACTCTCGCGCCCTGTAGGAAAGGCTCCAGTTTAAGTTGCAAATGCAACCTCTGGGTCTAACAGAGCGACCGTCCAGATGGTGCAGTCAATCCCAGAGTGTGGCACTAACAGAACGGACCCAGGCTTTCCCTGCTTTGTTACAATCTCCGCGGCAACAAGGTTGTCAACCACTCACCTACTGCAGGGGATCTCAAACATTGACCAGTCAACTCCAGCCAGGCATTCATTCATTCACACCTTGCACGTTTCCACAAATGTTCATTCAATTAAGGTTTGCTTTATCAGTTACGACTGAGATGATTTTTTAAATTTTATAGACTATGGCATGTGTTAGGTATATTCTGTTGACATTTATAAGGGTCAGAGTGGAGAGGGACAATGGGAGGAAGACACATTAGAAAAACTCAGGGTTGGTGTGTTTGATAATGTGCAGCTTTCAAGCAGTATCATCATTGCACAGATGAAAAGAAAGCACACCATTTCATACGGACCCTCTTGAATTTAATTTAATTGATTCAGTGCAAAGCCTCAATTGAGAGCTTTATAAACTCTCTGGTAGTTCTGGAGCCCTCCTGAATTTCAGATTAAATCCTTTGTCAGTTTGCCCACTGCATCACTGGAGAGGTTCACCAAAGTAAGATTCAGTCTCTATAGCCACAAATTTACCTTCTTCCCCACTCTGGATTCGGGGCCTCTCTCTCCTCCATAGGCCTGAGATTGACAGTTCAGATGTCAGATTTTTGTTGAATGCTGAGCACTCACCTTTTCCATCTTTACAGCATGGATGGAGGCCATTCATCCAATCGCACTTGTTTCAACAGCCATATCTTTTGTTGGAAATTACTGATGAGCAAACAATAAAAACAAACTCAATACACAAGTCGTTTCTTTTGATAAACAGTCCTCAATAGCCTGGAAATAAATGGTCACTGACTATGGTAAATCAGTGCCCAGAATATATCCAACTAAAGATGCCACATGGCTGCGTGATAAGTTGCTGTTCCATAGTCAGTTTAAACCCCTGTTTTGACTTTTATCACAGAAATCTCAAAGTTGTCCCATGCTAACAGGTCCCTGCTAATTTGCGATTTATCTGTCAATGAAGCAACCAATCCTTTCCAAACCTGTATCATTTACAAAGGTTAACCAGTGACTGATGATAAAATTTAGGCACCAACAGAATGCAACTCTCCGACTTTGAATGCTAGCCTCCCTGGCATGGACTGGCTTATGGCGTGCATGTTGGATACGGCCCACAGGTTGGGTATGGTTGTTGCTTATAAAGGTGCATTGAAGACGGAATGTGACAGAATTGGAAGATGGAATTCCAAGTGATCTTCTAGAGCAGGGAAGATAAATTGACAAAAGAAGAGCGAGGCTGTGTTCATAAAGGTGTGAGATTCAGGAGGAATCGCCAATATTTAATCCAAAAAAAATGCTACTGGTGGATTTTTGCCACCAGTGGTGGGGAAATGGAAGAATGGCTTGCACAGAAAGTGAGTGGAAGAAAACAATGCAGTGAGGGTGGGGCAAATGGCAATGGGCAGCTACTGTTTTGGATACAGTGAGACAGCACAGTCAAGGACAACCTTCAGCGTTTTGCTTTGTGTCTGGTATTAAGTGTAATTACAGCCTTTCCCATTGATCTCAGATTTGACAGCGCTCACTTGGTGCCGTACTTAGTTAAAAATCACTCTTGACTTTAAGGACAATGATTCCTAGCTAACCTCTTGCATCCATGTTGTACTGAGGCTGCGATGGGCCAAGTGGAACCTGCAGATTCTGAAGCTGAGCATCAATCAGCTGTTGTAGCTTGTTTGTTTTAATGACTTCACGTCAGCATTTGGTTCCGTGGTATCTGTCTGACACCTGAGACGGAAAGTCAAACTCCAGAACCTGGTGCTAACAACTTGAGTTCATATTCCAGAGAGACATTTGCAGTGCAGTACTAAAGGGAGGGCTGTCTTTTTGAGACGACATTAAACCAGGGCTATGTCTATTCTCAGGTGTATATAACACTCCCAGTGCACCATCCACAGAGGAACAGGGGAGATTTGCTCAGTGCCCTGGCCAACCATACTCCCTCTACTAATACCACTATAGGTTGTTTAGTTATCTTCTCACTACTATTCAGGGGACCTAGATATGCAGAAATTTGCTGTTGTATTTCAGAACAGCATCTAACATTTAAAAATATACTACATTTGGCTGTGAAGTACCTTATGAATTCATTCATAGAACTTAAGAGTTCGTAGAATCCCTACAGTGTGGAAACAGGCTCTTCGGCCCAACAAGTCCACACCGCCCCTCACAGCATCCCACCCAGACCCATCCCTCATAACCTACCTAGTCTGCACACCCCTGAACACTACAGGCAATTTAACATGGCTAATCCACCTAGCCTGCAGATCTTCGGATTGTGGGAGGAAACCAGAGAACCCAGAGGAAACCCATGGGGAGAATGTGCAAACTCCACACAGTCAGTCACCCCAGGGTGGAATTGAACCGGGTCCCTGCTGCTGTGAGGTAGCAGTGCGAACCACTGAGCCACTGTGCCTGTCCTCATGGTCATGAGAAGTGCTCTACAGTTGCCAGTTCTTTTGCTATTCCAATACTTCACTTATTATTTGGAGGAAGCCGAGTTGGATTTTTGTGTAAGACATAGCAAAGCAGTTTTTCACTTCTGTGAGTAGGTGCTTGCGTCATAGGTGTACTGCAACAGCTTGATGAGGATGATGGCACCCCCTTAGTATTGACTCCTCCTGTTGCACTGCAACAATTCACCGTGTCCTTTGACAGTACATTCCAAGTTCACAATCTCTATCGGCTGGAGTAACACGGGTAGCTGACAAACTGGGAACACCACCATTAGTTGCAAATGCCTCTCCACGCCACACAGCATCATGACAGAAATATTTTGCTGTTCCCTCACTGTTGCCGAGTGAAAATTCTGGGATAGTCTCTTCAACAGCACAGTGGGTGCACTGACAGCATGAGCTCTGTAATGGTTTCAGGGCTGCTATCTCCACCGTTTCAAGGGTAATTAGAGATGAACAATGAATTCTTGCTCTGCCAAAGACAGCTACCACATCCCATGAGTGGATTTTAAAAAAAATTCTCGTGCCTGCTTACATATTGTCGTATCTTCTTTTATCATTGACGTGGTTCCATCTTTAATCATTAAGATCATAGTTGCCCTCTGCAATTTTTCCTAATACTCCTGTAGACAAGGGGAAGCAATGGCCTAGTGGTATTATCGATGGACTGTTAATCCAGAGACCCAGATAATGTTCTGGGGTCCCAGGTTCGAATCCTGCCACAGCAGATAGTGGAATTTGAATTCAATAAATATCTGGAATTAATGGTCTAATGATGACTGTGAATCCATTGTCAATTGTAGGAAAAACCCATCTGGTTCACTAATGTCCTTAGGGAAGGAAACTGCCATCCTTACCTGGTCTGGCGTATATGTGACTCCAGACCTACAGCAATGTGATTGACTCTTAACTGCCCTCTAGGCAATTAGGGATGGGCAATAAATGCTGCCTAGCCAGTGATGCCCTCATCCTGTGAATGAATAAAGGGACCTTTAATCTGGTATATTTAATTCCTTCTCTTGACAGCCATGTCTCAATAATGGCTTCACATCTTCCAAATTGAATTTACATCTACAGTTCATTTAATTAGTTCCTTTTAAACAATGCTTTTGTATGAAAAATGTTCAGTTGACCCTAACCTGAGCTTCTGTCCTATTGCTTTACTCACACATTTCTTTCCCAATTTTGTTTAAGTTATGTTTCTGTCTTTAAATTTTCCCTTTGTTTGTAGTCCAAGCTCACAATCTCCACCACCTGGAGGAACAAAGGCAGCGGACAAACTGGGAACACCACCAGTTGCAAATGCCTCTCCATGCCACACACCATCATGACATAGAAATATATTGTTGTTCCTTCACTGCAGCGCAATACTCCATCATTTTGTCTGTTTGTAAACATTGGTTGCTGGTGTGACATCATGGTCTCACACATACAAGCCAACAAGATCAAAAGAATACAAATACCTCAGCTGAGATTGATCATAAGCATTCAATACCAGTCTTTGGCAATGCCCTTCATTTCACGAATCTCAAAATCCCACAAACAAGAAATTGACTTTCGTACCAAGTGTAGAAACTCCCTTGTGCAATCTGCCAGTTTTGGAACTAGTTTTTCCCACATCAAGAAGAATAAAAGCAACTCCGAGAAATCAAATCAAATCAAAACAGTGACTATGTTGGAGATCTGAAGTGAAAACAGGAAGTAAGCAGGTCTGGCAGCATCGGTGGAGAAAGAAACAGAGTTAAAAGTTTCAAGGCCAATGACACTTCTTTGGAACTGAAGAAGTGATATTGGACACGAAACATTAACTGTTTCTCTCTCCATAGATTCTGCCAGACTTGCTGAGTTTCTCTGGAATTCTCTGCTTTGTTTCAAGGCATATTTAAGTTAAATTCAACTTTTAACTAAAGTTTAACTTCAGGAGTTCAGAAGTAACATAATCATTAACAATACAACATGCACATTTTAACAGAATGTTCTACTGCTATTCAACAATGCTCCCTTTTCAAAGACAAGTGTGATGTAACAAATGACAAGTTCTTTGACATTGGTGTTAACACCAACGTGAGTGGTCCTAACCCACGGAATATCTTCCCATCAAACAAATTTGAGGTTTTTCCTCACGCTCATTATTTGTTTGGACTTCCTCAAATTACTGATTCTGTTCACTTTAAACAGTTTCTATTTCCACTGGCCAGAATTTTACCAATCCTTGTGAAATCGGCTCTGATTGTCACTGCCAGAACCTCATGCTACCTGTTAATTTAGCCAGTATGTGGCACAGAGGGTTTCTGAGGTAGTTCAATGTCATCAACTCTCCTTCATCTACACACCATCCAGGGCTTGTATGATGATCAAAGGTACAGGAGACACCACTTTCAAGTCTTTACACAGACACTTGTTTTAGTTAACAAGAGTTTATTGCATGATAACAATTAATACAACTACATTACTAGTCAGGCATAATTATGAAGGACTCACAGGCAGCTGTACAGAAAACATTTATTCCTGACAAAAGTTAAGGTGGAACTCCCTGTCTCCACCTGAAGATTGTGACGTGATCAGATTGGATGGCTAATGCAAATTAACTCCTTCAGAACAACTACCTTACCCAACATTATTGGCAGGTAGGAAGGCTGGACTAATGGTACAGGTAGGTGTTGTGGAGGTTGGGGAAACAATCAATATCTTCCCACTGCTGTGTTATTTTCCCAACAGTACAACAGTCAGCAGATCACCTGGCCAGCAGGAACCCAACTGAAGTAATTAAGTGGCCAATTAAAGCCTATGTCACAACAGGGCAGGTATTTTGCTCAGTGTCATTCCAACACTACTTACTCCTTTTAGAGGGCGCAAGCCACTGAGGCACCCTCTACTGCAGCTGCAGTATCAGCACTGGCCACTGCTTCTGATGGCGCTGCTGAGGGAGTCCAAGCTTTGACTGGGCTGGCAACTCCAGGGTCGGGCCACGATTCTTAATTGGAATATGCTTCCGTGAAGCAGGGTTGCCCCAGCTGCAGCTCTAGTAGCAGGACCTTATCAAAATGTATTTTTCCTTCCCCCACATTAGAGTTATACTTTAGAAAATTAAGGAGAAGTACTTACTTCAGAGTCAAAAGCATGCTAGTGCAGGGTCAAGAAGTTGGTGGTACTAAAGTTCAAGTAGGTACAGGCAAAAGCGAGTGCTAAGTTCACCAACATTAATTAATTTATTATAACAGTGTAGGTGCAATAATTAAGAAGCAACTTGAAAAGTAAACATTTACAGGACCACAGAGCAGGGGTGGGATTAACTGGATAGCTCTTTCAAACAGCTGGCAGAGGGATGATGGGCTGAACCGCTTCTTTCTGCGTTGTAAGATTCTCTGATTTGGTTAATGGCTGTTTGTATTAGCTGGAAGAAAAAAAAAAATCAGAAACCATTAAGATAAAAACAGAAAATCTTTGTCAGGTCAGGCAGCATCTATAAGGAGATAAAGGTCCAGAACCCATTAAAGATAAATGGGACTGAATGGTCAGTGTCAAAAAACAGGAAATATCTGGAACAAGAAATTGTTTCCAATTGTCGCACAGTAGAAGGGTTGTCTCCAACTATATGTTTAAATCTAGAACCATGGTGAACATGTCTGGTGGAGAAGTGGCAAAAAGGTCCATTGCTGAAAGAAATGGAGCATCATAAGGTGGGGGAGATTTCAACTTCAATACAGGAATGCACCTTTGCCACGAACTTGGACTAATAAATGTTAAGGCCTGGATTAAGTAACTAGTGGTGAATAAATCAGAGCTTAACTGACTCACTGACGTCCTTTTGTACAAGAAACTCGCTGCCCTTCGCTGGTCTGGTTTACACGTGGCTCCTAACTCTATCACAGTCCTTCACCAATTTGACAACCTCTTAACAGTTCTTGGAAGTGGCCGGTTCAGCCAACAGCTCAGTTGTATCAAGTCTCTGCTAGGGATTCAAAGAGGCAGCCACCATCACCTTCGGAGGGCAATTCCTGAAAAGGACAATAATTGTTGGCCTTGCCAATGATCTTCTCATCCTGAAGTTGAATTAAAAAGTCCCACAAAGTGAAAATGAAAACAATTGCTCATGAAACAGTTTATTGCCAGCCTTGATCGAGTTATAGACAGGCAAGCTCTATGTAGAGCTACCACTCAAAGGGGATGGAATCAGCTGCTTGTTGGGAAGACACAGCCATGCGCATTCATGAAGATTTGCTGATACTGCCGACCACTTCATGAAGAGTCAACCATCTCATATGACAAACGATCAACTAAATGACTCTATTGCAAGGATGTGATTACACTAGACAGGGTGCAGAGGAGATTCACCAGGATGTTGCCTGGGTCAAAGAGATTCAGCTAGGAGAGACCAGGTAAGACTGGGGTTGTTTTCCTTAGAGCAGAGAATGGAACCTGATTGAATTGTACAAAGTCATGAGGAGCATAGATAGGGTGGACAGGGAGTAACAAAGAAACTATTTCTATTAGTAGAAATGTTCAATAACCAGGGGGGCACAGTTTAAAGTGAGGAGTAAGAGATTTAGAGAAGATTTGAGGAAAAGCTTTTTTTTTATACAGAAGGTTGTGGGTATCTGGAACGTATTGCCTAAAAAGGTGGTAGAGACAGAAACCCTCAAGATATTTGAATGAGCACTCAGAACGCCACAGCATATAAGGCTACAGGTAAAGTGCTTGAAAATTGGATTTGAATAATTAGATGCTTGATGACTGGTGCCTTTTTCCAGGCTGTTAACATTCTATGAAAGCAACTGCAATATCAAGTAAGGAGACTAAAAATATACAAAACTCCCTTCATTCTCCCCTAATATGATATACAGCACAAAAAGCATCCAAGAGGTAAGGGAATCCAAGACTCTAAAGCAAGTGAAGAACACATTGGTGAAGAAACAGTACAGGAGAAGTTAAGCAAACAAATTCTTTGGACCTGATAAACAACACTGCGGAATTTTAAAAGAAGTGGCTACAGAGCTAGTGGATGCATTGGTTTTGATCTTCCAGAATTCCCTATGTCTTAGAGTTTAGAAGGTAACCTAGCTGTTCAAGAAAGAGAGAAAACACAGGAAATTAAAAGCTACTTAGCTTGACCTCAGTAACAGGGAAATTGCTAGAATCTGTTATAAGGGCACTTAGAAAACCATGCCCTGATTAGATACAGTCAGTACTAATTGCTGAAAGGGGAATAGGGTTTCACAGCTCTGTTAAGAGTTTATGATGCAACCAGTAGGATGGATAGGGGAGGTGCGAACCAAGGGTTTTGGATTCTCAAAAAAAAAATTCAGTAAGATGCCACACAAGGGCTATTACATAAAAACAAACTTTGAGAGATAGAGGAGTAGTTTAAACACATAACTGTCCAAACAGCAGGTCAGTTTGTGATTGCATCTAGGTGGTGGTGGTTTACTGCAAGGCTCAGTGCTTAGGCTTCAGCAATGTTCAATTTCTAACAATGATATAAATAAGGTGGGAGAGTATAACATATCCAAGTTTGAAGATATATGGCAATAGGAAAATAAGCTGTGCAAAGGATACAGAGAGACAGTAAAGCGATTTAGATAAGGGAGTGTGGAAGAACTTGGCCAATACAGCATAATGTGAAGGCATCCACACTGGCAGAAAATATAGAAAAGCAGAACATTTTAAGTGGAGAGTGTCAGGGAAATATTGGCATTCACAAGGACCTGGGTGTTCTCATACATAAATCACATACATTCATATGCAGGTTAAACACAGAAAACTAAGAACAAATGGTATGCTAATCCTTACTACAAACAAATTGGGAGTACAAGTAAAAAAGTTCTGGTTCACTATTTTGGAGCCTTGCTACAGCCACATTTGGAATACTGTGTACAATTTTGGGTTCCTTACCAGAAGAAGGACGTATTTTCCTTAGAAAGACTGCATTAAGGTTCAACAGTGATTCTCCTGGGGAGTTTAACATTATGGCTCAGTCTCCGATTAAGGGAAAGGCCGTCTAAGACGGAGATGAAAGGAGAAATTCCAATACATAAAGGGTTATGAACTTTCAGAAATCTCTACCACAGAGAGATAGTGATGCTCAGCATACAGTTAAGGCTAAGTTAAGACAGATACTTGAATTTAGTTTCCTGTTTCTCCTTTGAGGCGAAGATGACCATGTTCATGTTCACTGCCCAAAACTGGTGGGGAGCTACTGGGTTCATGGGTTACTGCTTAGGCCAATGTGTCTGGAAGGTTCTATTTCAAATAGCACAGCATACCACAGCTGACTGGAATTTACCCTCCTTGTGTTTTCCCTGTCAATCTGATATGCACTTTTCAAAGGAGGCCATTGCACTTCTATTTGGTTGCACCAGGTGCAGCTATCGTGCACAAGCTTCTCCCAGGACTCCAACTTGATATCAAAACTCCCAAGTGAAACCTTCAGAGGAGAATATGCCACAGCATAATCCTTTGACTGATCATTCATTAAAAAGGGGGAGGAGGGGGAAATTCAATTTAATGCATCGAGGATTCAAAGGGTGGGATTGGAGGATAAAAGAAATTACCTCCTGTTGTATTGTTTTAAAAAAAAAACAACGAACTGGTTCACTGATGTTACTCCATCTGTCTATACAAGATCAGCTACAATGATCTGTTACGTGGTCTTACATACACCTTAGTTGTAAAAGTGATACTTTAAGGTAACGAGGGATGGGTAACAAATATAGCTTTGACAGTCTCATTATACCCTGGAATAAATATTTAAAACAATGTTTACCAAAACAACTTTCTACAGCACAGGCAAACTTATGAACTTCATTCAATCCTTGTACATCATTCTGGGCCTGTCTAGCAGCAATCATAAAATTGAAGCAGAAAAGTTTCCATTGATTTTTTTTAATAAGTGTCATTTCTCCAAGGTGACTTGATGTGCAAATGTTTCAGTCCCATTGCAATGGACATTTTATTAGCAATACATAAGAAATAAAAATATTTGTAAGCTGCACTGATTTTACTTCTTTTCTTCAGATGTGTTAATTTAACAAAAATGTTTTGTAGGCGGTGCACAACTTTGAAAAGCCCTTTGCAGCAGAAAGTACTTGTCCTAATAAACTGCCTTATCATGCTCTTAGAATGCCCCCAATGGTTCATATTCCATTGAATACTTTTTGAAATGTAGTCACTGTTATGTACAAAAACAGTCAACAGTTCTCATACAGCAAGACCCAACAAACAGCAATTGGAAGAATAACAGGTTAATGTTTCTTTGGTGATGTTCGTTACGGGACGAATGCTGTCCAGAACAGGAGAACTCCCTTGCATTTCTCCAATGTTTTTGGATTTTTCCTCAATAAGAGGGCAGATGGGGTTTGTATTTTAACATCTCACCCGAAAGACAAAAATGTTAACAGTATGATACTCCCTTGGTGCTATACTGAAGTGTCAGCCTGGATTACTAGCTTAAGGTCTAGAGTAGGATTTGAATTCACAATGTACTAACCCAAGGATGAGGGAGTTCCCACAGAGAAGGGAAAACATACTTCGATACAGTACAGATAGGAAGAAAGAATAATGCAGATGTTGTGTCATTTAAGACATATTTTGTCAAGAAAATGCATCCTCCAAATGTCACTTGTTTACTAGGATTCCACTTTAACGAATAATCCTGAACGAATAATTGGAAACAATGGGACCTTGCAGCTTTAACCCATTCCCCTGCATATTGGGAAACGTGATGAATCAGATCAGGAACAACTGGGGCCTTGCCCAACTATTAACAAGGAGGATGATGCCTATAACACAATGTGAGTACAACTGCTTTATCACACTGAGTATTGCACAACCGATTCCTCAAAAGCTTTAAAATTAAATCGTTCATTGGGTTTAAAAATCAAAAATAGTGCTGATATGCTTACAGACTCCAGATCATCTGTGCCTCAGACTCGAGGGCAGAACAGCTGCATTTGGCATTTTATTCCGATTGACAACACTGAAAGTATGGCTTTAGTAAAACACTGCAAAAGAAAATCCCTGAAGAGCCACCTATTCCAAAAAAATAAGTCGTGGAACACCGTGTCTGCACTATTTGTTGGAAGAATGGGTGTATCGGTCAGTTTGCTTCCAAATGATGAAAATCCAAGGAAGGACAACTTTGAGCGGACGGGAGAGCCTCCCTCTGCGCTGTGTGCGGACAATTATTCATTCATTCATTCATTCATGTACAATATCTTCAATGTCCTGTGCCATCATGGAACTGCTACGAATCCACTGTCGAAGAGCATCTGCAGGTTAGCCCTTTTCTTCCGCATATCCAAATAAACATTCCACGACCGGTCACAAACACTTCAGCTCAATATCAACCTGCGAAAGGAACAAAAAGAAAATTAAAAGATCTTAACATCAGCAAACAGTCCTTGGGTTGTACTTATACCACAAACACAGCATTGGTATAAAGTAATTTTCAACCTGAAAATACCAGATAATTATGAAGAGGCCATCTTTATTCATCTATGCACAAAGATCCTAAAGTCACCTCCTTGATTGTATCCAGTTTTCAAAGAAATTCAGAGTTTTTGCCTTCACTACTCTACCCAGAGATCCGATCCACCCACCTCTTCTCTACCCAACCTACAAACTTGCCCATCACCCCCACTGGTTCAGTGAACAGAATTTAATGAAGTAGCCATGGTGTTATGGAGGGGATGGTTAAATGAAATGAACTCCCTGATACTCACTTTGATTAAAAAGAAACAATTTATTCATGTAACTGTAGCAGTGATCAAATCACCAGAACCACTAACAAACTGAGCAATTCCCCCCTAACTACTAACTATTCCTGAATAAAACAAAATTCTAATGGTATGATGTTCCAATAAATACAAGTTCCAATTATATAAACCAAAGTAATAGGACAAAAATAAATTAAAACTCAGACGCTCAAAACTAAAGTCAGGACATGTCTTCTGGAATGTTGTGCCTTTTCCACTATTCTTCCTTCGTCCAATCCTTGTGTCAGGAATACTAGCTAAGACTGCTGTTGTACCTTTTAGATGTGCTTAATCAGAGAGCTTAAAGATTTCTGTGATAGCCAGAGTTTTATTCTTCTGATGGCAGTTCGCTCTCTCACTGATTTTCAAAAATCTTTTTCTAATATACCCCTTGATGACCTGTCAAATTTCTCATAATAGGATTGGTCCTAGGTTTCAATTTCAGAACTGTCTGTCCATCTGAAACTGCTTGCAGACATTTCTTATCACCAAGCTTAGAAAACCACATCACCTCTTAAAAGGGACCACGCACTCTCCCCTCCTACCATTTTTACAAACAAATTCTAACATCCTGCCTTAAAGTACTCTACCCAACTTTGCAACACCTCCCCCCTGAAGAAAACCAAGAGGGAAAAGTATACTTGATATCATCCTTACCAATCTGCCACCTGCAGTTGCATCTGTCCATGACAGTATCAATAAGAGTGACCACTGTACAGTCCTTGTGGAGGCAAAGTCCTACCTTCACATTGAGAATCACTTCCATCGTGTTGTGTGGCACTATCACCATGCTAAATGGGACAGACTTTGCACAGATCTAGCAACTCAAGGCTGGGCATCCATGAGACACTGTGGGCCATCAACAGCAAAACTGTCCTCCAGCACAATCTGTAATTTCAAGGCCCAGCATATTCCCCACTCAACCGTTACCATTAAGCCAGGGGATCAACCCTGGTTCAATGGAGAGTGCAGGAGGGTATGCCAGCAGCTGCACCAGGCATACCTGAAGAGGAGGGGTCAAGCTGGTGAAGTCACCAAACAAGGACTACTTGCACGCCAAACAGCAAAAGCAGCAAGTGATAGACAGGGCTAAGCGATGCCATAACTAATGAATCTGATCTAAGTTCTGCAGTCCTGCCACATCCAGTCGTGCATGGTGACGGACGATTAAATAACTCTCTACAGGAGGAGGATCCACAAATATCCTTATCCTCAATGATGGGGGATCCCAGTACACCAAAATAAAAGATAAAGTTGAAGCATTAGCAGCAATCTTTGGCCAGAAGTGCCGAATGGATGATCCATCTCGGCCTCCTCCAGTGGTCCCCGGCATCACAGATACAAGTCTTTAGCCAATTTGATTCACTCCACGTGATTTCAAGAAATGGATGGAGACACTAGATACTACAAAGGCTACGGGCCCTGACAACATTCTGGCGGTAGTATTGAAGATTTGTGCTCCAGAACGTGCTGCTCCCCAGGTCAAGCTGGTCCAGTACAGTTACAACACTGGCACCTAGCCAACAATGTGGAAAATTGCCCAAATATGTCCTGTACACAAAAAGCAGGATAAATCCAATCCGGCCAATTACTGCCCGACCAGTCTACTCTCAATCATCGGTTAAGTGATGGAAGGTGTCATCAACAGTGCTATCAAGCAGCACCTGCTCAGCGATGCCCAGTTTGGTTTCCGCCATGGCCACTCAGCTCCTGACCTCATGACAGCCTTAGTTCAAACATGGGCAAAAGAGCTGAATTCCAGAAGTGAGGTGAGAATGACAGCCCTTGATATCAAGGCAGAATTCAACCGAGTGTGGCATCAAGGAGCCCTAGTAAAATTGCAATCAATAAGTATCAGGGGGTAAACTCTCCGCTGGTTGGAGTCATACCTGTCATATAGGAAGATGGTTGTGGTTGTCAGTCATCTCAGCTCCAGGACATCTCTGCAGGAGCTCCTCAGGGTAATGTCCTCAGCCCAACCATCTTCAATTGCTTCATCAACGACCTTCCCTCCATCATAAGGTCAGAAGTGGGGATGTTCGCTGATGATTGCACAACGTTCAGCACCGTTTTGACTGCTTCAGTATCTTAGGAGTCACATGTTCAAATGCTACAAGATCTGGACAATATCCAGGCTTGGGCTGATAAGTGACAAGTGACATTCGCGCCACACAAATGCCAGGCTATGACCATCACCAATAAGAGACAATCTAACCACCACCCCTTGACATTCAGTGGTGTTACCATCACTGAATAGCCCACTGTCAACATCCTCAACTCACCTGCCAACTCCTCAAAGCCTGTCCATCATCTACAAGGCTCAAATCAGGAGCGTGATGGAATATTCCCCACTTGCGTGGATGAGTGCAGCCCCAACATCACTCAAGAAGCTTGACACCATCCAGGACAAAGCAGCCCGCTTGATTGGCACTACATCCACAAGCATCCATTCCCTCCACCACTGACACTCAGTAGTACAACACTGTTGCTATCGACAAGACGCACTACAGAAATTCACCAAAGATCCTTAATACAGCACTTTCCAAATCCATGACCATTTCTATCTTGAAGGACAAGAGCAGCAGACATATGGGAACACCACCACCTTCAAATTCCCCTGCAAGCCACTCACCGTCCTGACTTGGAAAAGTATCACCCGTTCCTTCACTGCTGCTGGGTCCAAATCCTGGAATTCCCTCCCTAATGGGATTGTGGTAGACTGCAGTGGTTCAAGAAGGCAGCTCACCACCACCTTCTCAAGGGCAACTAGGGATGGACAAGAAATGCTGGCCAGCCAGCGACGCCCACATCCCACAAATGAATAGGATAAAAAAACCATTGTGAAAAGATGGCTTCATTTTTTTTTCTGAATTATTACTAACTCCATAATGCATTAATCTAGAGTTACTCATTTCCTACTAATTCTATTACAATCTTTTTAGCCTTGACATTCTTAATGGAATTGCCTCTGGAAATCTGGTAGACACATCCATTATGGTTAGCAAATACTGGTTCCCACTTTTGGTTTTAGGAAGGCGACCTACACAATCATAATCCACACAAAACGTCTTCAAATGCGGGAATTGTCATCAAAGATGCTGACTTTCCTACCATCTGACACATATGATAGGCACGGCAAGATTCAATCACAGCTTTATGTAATCCAGGCCAATAGAAATGCTTCTGTATCTTAGCCCGAGCAGTCCTTACTCCTAGATGACCTGCTACAGGTAATTTGTGTGCTGCCCACAATCCTTCCTTTCCGTATGCTACCGGCAACACAATCTGGTGAATTTCCACCCATTTCTCCTCTGCACTAACCTGCTACGGTCTCCATTTATGCCTTAGGATTTTTAAGGTAATAACATTGTGGAATACATTGATTCTTTTTCAGAGTAGGCTTAATGATACAAATCTTTTATTGTCTCATCTTTTCGTTGTAACTGCGTTCATCTTTCAGAACTAAACACCTCTGCCTGATCCCCTACCTGCTCAGGTTCTTCCTTTACCATTTCATCAAATGGGGTGTCAGCTAACTGGACCTCAACTCCTTTGTCTTTCTGTTTTGTTTTCCCTTCTTGCTTTAACTTATGGGATCTCGTCACCAGTGTCTGGAAAAATTCCAGGGTATTTTTCTTTTAACACTTCACTTCCCTGGTTTTCTTTTGGCTTCTCCACTACAATGGGCATTCCACTCCCGTATATCTCAGATGTCCTCGTTTTTCAAGGACCGCAACTTCCCCCCTCAGTGGTCGAGAACACCCTCGACTGTGTCTCCCGCATTTCCCGCAACTCATCCCTCACACCCCGTCCCCGCAATAACAACCAAAAAAGAATCCCCCTCGTCCTCACGTACCACTCCACCAACCTCCGGATCCAACGCATCATCCTCTGACACTTCCGCCATCTGCAATCCGACCCCACCACCAAAGACATTTTTCCCTCCCCACCCTTACCTGCTTTCCGGAGGGACCACTCTCTCAGTGACTCCCTTGTCCGCCCCCACACCTCCTCCCTCACCCCCATCCCAGGCCCCAAGAAGACTTTCCACATCAAGCAGATGTTCACCTGCACACCTGCTGATGTGGTATACTGCATCTGCTGTACCTGTTGTGGCCTCCTCTACATCGGGGAAACCAAGCGGAGGCTTGGGGACCTCTTTGCAGAACACCTACGCTTGGTTCGCAATAAACAACTGCACCTCCCAGTCACGAACCATTTCAACTCCCCCTCCCATTCCTCAGACAACATGTCCATCCTGGGCCTCCTGCAGTGCCACAACGATGCCACCTGAAGGTTGCAGGAACAGCAACTCATATTCCACTTGGGAACCCTGCAGCCCAATGGTATCAATGTGGATTTCACAAGCTTCAAAATCTCCCCTCCCCCTACCGCATCCCGAAACCAGCCCAGCTCGTCCCTGCCTCCCTAACCTGTTCTTCCTCCCACCTACCCCCACCCCAATCTTCTACCTACTAACCTCATCCCGCCCCCTTGACCTGTCCGTCCTCCCTGGACTGACCTATCTCCGCCCTAACTCCCCACCTACACTCACCTTTACTGGCTCCATCCCCGCCTCTTTGACCGGTCTGT